GTCTGTGTGTGTGTGAGAGTGTGTGTGTGTGTGTGTGTGTATGTGTGTGAGTGTGTGTGTGTGTATGTGTGTATCTGGTATTTATCACGTTATGGGGACCAAATGTCCCCACAAGGATAGTAATACTAGTCAATTTTGACCTTGTGGGGACATTTTTGAGGTCCCCATGTGGAAACAAGCTTATAAATCATACAGAATGAGGTTTTTTTGAGAAATTAAAAATGCACAAAGTCTCCTGTGAGGGGTAGGTTTAGGGGTAGGGTTGGTGTAGGGCAATAGAATATACGCATGCCGTTACAGTGATCGGAGTGTGTTCATTATTACACCATAACACACACACACACACACACACACACACTGGACTCAGCCCCGTCTAACCTGCACTGCATTGAGCTGGAGGGGTGGAGGGGGGAATCAATGCCGTTTTCAACATGTAATGCTTGCTAATGATTTTCTGCTGGTTTACTGAAGGCGACAGCGAAGGCGCTTCTGTCTGTTCATCAGGGTGCTTTGGGTGTTTTTGTGCTGCTGGAACAACAATCAACGGATCGATCGTGGGCAGAACTGATGCATGAGGTTCTAGACGAACCAGAGTCCACACCAACACAGCGATGCTGCAAACATCTGCACTGACGACACTCATGAATGCAAAGAAGCCACAGCAATACGACCTCACCTTGTTATTATTATTGATCACAAACAGTTATTCATATCAGCCCTGTGCCATCATCACAACAATGACAGATTGCTAAACTCTGCATTTGATATATTTGGTTACACGCATGACTGCTTGACACCTGTCACCTATAATCAATACAATTCGCATCCAATCATCTGTATTGTTCCTGTAGTTCTTCTAATGTCCTGTGTTTGCTGCATCATCTGCGATTCAGTGACATTCCCACACTGATCAATAACGCCTCTATTAATGCTTACTGTACTGAATCAATCAATCATTCGGTTCATTTGAATAATCTGCAGCATTTATGCAGCATAACATCACAGTAACCACAGAGCGTCTGCAGTGGAGCTCTACATCGACTTCATCAGGACTGCAGCTGACATACGCACTGCATAAGCGCTCATAACGCGCTCGCTTTCCTCACACCCACGTTCAGTGTAAACAATTCAAGGAAAATTGTGATTGATGTTTTAAATAAAAAAATGCATATTATATGTATATATACACACACATATATAAATTATGATGATATAATAACGTCACAATGCAAAAAATTATGCTAGGTTTTCTTTCTTTGTTCATTATTCCCGAGATGAATATGATCCAGACGTGTGCTGGCAGGTTTCCTGAGATGCAGTTCTTCAGATGCATCATCATATCCAGCACATGCCGTTACAGTGATCGGAGTGTGTTCATTATTACACCATAACACACACACACACACACACTGGACTCAGCCCCGTCTAACCTGCACTGCATTGAGCTGGAGGGGTGGAGGGGGGAATCAATGCCGTTTTCAACATGTAATGCTTGCTAATGATTTTCTGCTGGTTTACTGAAGGCGACAGCGAAGGCGCTTCTGTCTGTTCATCAGGGTGCTTTGGGTGTTTTTGTGCTGCTGGAACAACAATCAACGGATCGATCGTGGGCAGAACTGATGCATGAGGTTCTAGACGAACCAGAGTCCACACCAACACAGCGATGCTGCAAACATCTGCACTGACGACACTCATGAATGCAAAGAAGCCACAGCAATACGACCTCACCTTGTTATTATTATTGATCACAAACAGTTATTCATATCAGCCCTGTGCCATCATCACAACAATGACAGATTGCTAAACTCTGCATTTGATATATTTGGTTACACGCATGACTGCTTGACACCTGTCACCTATAATCAATACAATTCGCATCCAATCATCTGTATTGTTCCTGTAGTTCTTCTAATGTCCTGTGTTTGCTGCATCATCTGCGATTCAGTGACATTCCCACACTGATCAATAACGCCTCTATTAATGCTTACTGTACTGAATCAATCAATCATTCGGTTCATTTGAATAATCTGCAGCATTTATGCAGCATAACATCACAGTAACCACAGAGCGTCTGCAGTGGAGCTCTACATCGACTTCATCAGGACTGCAGCTGACATACGCACTGCATAAGCGCTCATAACGCGCTCGCTTTCCTCACACCCACGTTCAGCAGCGCGAGCGCAGAGACCCGGACGGAAGCCGGTGACTCCCGCAGCATCAGCACCACTGCATCAGCACCGCATCTCTCTCTCACACACACACACACACACACACACACACACACAGGCCAGCGCGGGTACTCACGGTCCGTAAGAACTGGATCTCATCTTCGGCTTCGCCGTCCGTCATGGTTCGGCGCGGGTTCGGAGCCTCTCACCGGACAGATGAAGCTCTCAGGCGGCGGCGGCGGCGGCTCTGATGCGGGTGTAACGGGTGTCTCCTGCCGCGTTCTCATTGGACGGCTGACATACTCAGAGGGCGGGGCTATGCAGATGAGCGTGCGGTGCCGCAGCGCGCCCTCTGCTGGAGGACCGTTAAACCCGTTTCAGCACCGAGCAGCGCCACCACGAGGACACCAGAGCAAACACGACTCTATCCGTGTAAAGCATTAAAAAAAAAAGATCCAAATAATAAAAATATTTATTGAAACATTAACATAAAATCCCAAATTTACTTTAGCACAAACGTTTAATACCTAAATGAACATTTAATGCATGTATGAAATATAAACTGATACCAGTGTTACTGTTTTTGGCTAATAACCAATGTGATATTATCATTTTAATACTGTAAGTCCTACAGATTTAGTTTATAAGAAAACAAGCCCCAGTATGTGTTCTACATGGACTCATTAAGCTGTAATGGACAGCACAAACCATGGATGCCATGGAAAAATGCTCAAATTAACTGCTTCCAAATTCTGTCCTATTAATAAAACACTAATACTGACTAATGTGTGCTCTAATATACCATTGACAGAATCACCAATACAGAAAATCTGAATATATACATTTAAATCTGGGAAGAAGTCATTCCATAATATGCACCTATACATTAGTATTTCTGACACACATTTCCATTTTATGAATCACAAGTGACATTAAGATAACTATTTTACGTTTGGAAAATGTGAGCATGAACTAAACCTGAGCTTCAATCTGACCCAAATGACACTCATCTACTAACCTGAATAAATTAGATTTTGAATTCCATATTTTCACTGTGGTCTCAGACTTTTGAATGCACTTGTGTGTGTGTGTCTGTGTGAGCATGTGAGTGTGTGTGCGTGTGAGAGTGAGTGTGTGTGAGCGTGTGAGAGTGAGTGTGTGTGTGAGTGAGTGAGCGTGTGTGAGTGTGCATGCGTATGTGTGTGTGAGTGAGCGTGTGAGAGTGAGTGAGTGAGTGAGCGTGTGTGAGTGTGCATGCGTATGTGTGTGTGAGTGAGCGTGTGAGAGTGAGTGTGTGTGTGTGAGTGAGCGAGCGTGTGTGAGTGTGCATGCGTATGTGTGTGTGAGCATGTGTGTGTGAGTGAGCATGTGAGTGTGTGCATGAGTGAGCGTGTGTGAGTGTGTATGCGTATGTGTGTGAGCATGTGAGTGTGCGTGTGAGTGAGCGTGTGTGCATGCATGTGTGAGCATGTGAGTGAGTGAGTGTGTGTGTGTGTGTGAGTGAGTGAGCATGTGAGTGAGTGTGTGTGTGAGTGAGAGTGTGTGTGAGAGAGTGAGTGTGTGTGAGAGTGAGTGAGTGAGTGTGTGAGAGTGTGTGTGTGAGTGAGTGTGTGTGAGAGAGTGAGTGTGTGTGCGTGTGAGTGAGAGTATGTGAGTGAGAGTGAGTGTGTGTGCGTGAGTGAGCGTGTGCATGCGTATGTGTGTGTAAGCGTGCGAGTGAGATTGTGCATGCGTATGTGTGTGTGCGTGTGAGTGAGCGTGTGCATGCGTATGTGTGTGTAAGCGTGTGAGTGAGATTGTGCATGCGTATGTGTGTGAGCATGTGAGTGTGTGTGTGTGAGTGAGTGTGAGTGAGCGTGTGTGTGAGTGAGCATGTGAGTGTGTGTGAGTGAGCGTGTGTGTGAGCGTGTGTGTGCGTGTGAGTGAGCATGTGAGTGTGCGCGTGAGTGACTGTGTGAGTGTGCGCGTGAGTGAGAGTGTGCATGCGTGAGCATGTGAGTGTGTGTGTGAGTGAGCATGTGAGTGACTGTGTGTGTGTGTGAGTGAGCGAGCATGTGAGTGACTGTGTGTGAGTGTGCGCGTGTGTGAGTGAGCGTGTGAGATTGTGCATGCGTATGTGTGTGAGCATGTGAGTGAGAGTGTGTGTGTGTGTGTGTGAGCGAGCATGTGAGTGAGTGTGTGTGAGTGTGCGCGTGTGTGAGTGAGCGTGTGAGATTGTGCATGCGTATGTGTGAGCATGTGAGTGTGTGTGTGAGTGAGCATGTGAGTGCGTGTGTGTGAGTGTGCGCGTGTGTGAGTGAGCGTGTGAGATTGTGCATGCGTATGTGTGTGAGCATGTGAGTGAGAGTGTGTGTGTGTGTGTGTGAGTGAGTGAGCGTGTGTGTGCGCGAGTGAGCATGTGAGATTGTGCATGCGTATGTGTGAGCATGTGAGTGTGTGTGTGTGTGAGTGAGTGCGTGTGAGTGAGCATGTGAGTGTGTGTGTGTGAGTGAGTGCGTGTGAGTGAGCGAGCGTGTGTGTGCGTGTGAGTGAGCATGTGTGTGAGTGTGAGTGTGTGTGTGAGTGCGTGCGCGTGAGTGACTGTGTGAGTGTGCGCGTGAGTGTGCATGCATGTGTGAGCATGTGAGTGAGTGTGTGTGTGAGCGTGTGAGTGAGTGTGTGTGTGAGCGTGTGAGTGAGTGTGTGTGTGAGCGTGTGAGTGAGTGTGTGTGTGAGCGTGTGAGTGAGTGTGTGTGTGAGCGTGTGAGTGAGTGTGTGTGTGAGCGTGTGAGTGAGTGTGTGTGTGAGCGTGTGAGTGAGTGTGTGTGTGAGCGTGTGAGTGAGTGTGTGTGTGAGTGAGCGTGTGTGTGTGCGTGTGTATGTGTGTGTGAGCATGTGAGTGTGTGTGCGTGTAAGTGAGCGTGTGAGAGTGAGTGTGTGTGTGAGTGAGCGTGTGAGAGTGAGTGAGTGAGCGAGCGTGTGAGTGTGCATGCGTATGTGTGTGTGAGCATGTGAGTGTGTGAGAGTGTGTGTGTGTGTGTGTGTGAGTGAGCATGTGAGTGTGTGCATGAGTGAGCGTGTGTGAGAGTGTGTATGCGTATGTGTGTGAGCATGTGAGTGTGTGCGTGTGAGTGAGCGTGTGTGCATGCATGTGTGAGCATGTGAGTGAGTGTGTGTGAGTGTGTGCGTGTGAGTGAGCGAGCGTGTGTGTGCGTGTGAGTGAGCATGTGAGTGTGTGCGTGAGTGAGCGTGTGTGAGAGTGTGTATGCGTATGTGTGTGAGCATGTGAGTGTGTGCGTGAGTGAGCGTGTGTGAGAGTGTGTATGCGTATGTGTGTGAGCATGTGAGTGTGTGCGTGTGAGTGAGCGTGTGCATGCGTATGTGTGTGTATGCGTGTGAGTGAGAGTGTGCATGCGTATGTGTGTGAGCATGTGAGTGTGTGTGTGTGAGTGAGCATGTGAGTGACTGTGTGTGTGTGTGTGTGAGTGAGCATGTGAGTGAATGTGTGTGAGTGTGCGCGTGTGTGAGTGAGCGTGTGAGTGTGTGTGTGTGAGTGAGTGTGAGTGAGCGTGTGTGCGTGTGAGTGAGCATGTGAGTGTGTGAGTGAGCGTGTGTGTGCGTGTGAGTGACTGTGTGAGTGTGCGCGTGAGTGAGAGTGTGCATGCGTGAGCATGTGAGTGTGTGTGTGAGTGAGCATGTGAGTGACTGTGTGTGTGTGTGAGTGAGCATGTGAGTGACTGTGTGTGTGTGCGCGTGTGTGTGTGAGCGTGTGAGATTGTGCATGCGTATGTGTGAGCATGTGAGTGAGTGTGTGTGTGTGTGTGAGTGTGTGTGAGCATGTGAGTGTGTGTGTGTGAGTGAGTGCGTGTGAGTGAGCGAGCGTGTGTGTGCGTGTGAGTGAGCATGTGTGTGAGTGCGCGCGCGTGAGTGACTGTGTGAGTGTGCGCGTGAGTGTGCATGTGAGTGAGTGTGTGTGTGTGTGAGTATGTGAGTGAGTGTGTGTGTGAGCATGTGAGTGAGTGTGAGTGTGCATGCGTATGTGAGCATGTGAGTGAGAGTGAGCGTGTGTGAGTGTGCATGCGTATGTGTGTGAGTGAGCGTGTGTGCATGCTTGTGTGAGCATGTGAGTGAGTGTGTGTGAGAGTGTGCATGCGTATGTATGTGTGTGAGTGAGTGCGTGTGTGTGTGTGTGAGTGAGCGTGTGTGCATGCTTGTGTGAGCATGTGAGTGAGTGTGTGTGAGAGTGTGCATGCGTATGTATGTGTGTGAGTGAGTGCGTGTGTGTGAGAGTGTCTGTGTGTGTGTGCATGCGTGTGTGAGTGAGTGTGTGTGTGTGTGTGAGTGAGTGCGTGTGTGTGTGTGTGAGAGTGTCTGTGTGTGTGTGCATGCGTGTGTGAGTGAGTGCGTATTTGTGAGTGAGTGCGTGCGTGCGTGCGAGAGAGAGAGAGAGTGTGTGTATGTGTATGTGTGTGAGCATGTGAGTGCTTAATGACCATTTTAAACATTCTCCTTAATGTGAATATATTTACACACTCAATCACCAAACACTGAGAGTTTTGATTTAATGAAAAACATAGAAAAGCACATCTTTCAACGTTCATCGTAACAGATTATCAGTTTCACTCATTGTTTCCTCAGTTAAGTAAAATTAACAAACTGAAATAGATCCTAAAACAGCAGGATTGTGCGTTACATTTAAAGCACCATACTGAATAAGTGGTCCTTATGATTTTCATGCCACTGTCTAATATTAATACTAAAACTGACCGTTTGCTCTTTTGGACCTCATTTATGTCAATTTAAACCGTCAAACCTACAGGAAGAGTTAAATGACAGACGTCACTGAATTTACTGTGTTTACCGTCTAGTGACTTCAGGAACTGAAAGCGGATCAGTTTAAATGATGAAATCACAATCAAAGAGAAATGAAAGGATCTGCTGGAGTCTGTAAATTCAGCTGGTCTTTCGTACTATTATTTTCTTCAAATCTCATAAGAAATCAATTTATAAAACCTACAGGCCTAAAAATAAAATAAGTGCTTGTCACGGTTTTATTAAAAATAGAAATGTAATTAAAAGCAGCGCTCTAGGTGGCACCTCTGTAGTGTAAAGATAAAAGTGTTTTTTGGACCCTTTGATATTAAAATCCCTAATCTGGGCCAAAACCGTCAAAACAAAATGAGTTTTCTCTGCAGTGTCGTCCTGATCCGAGCGGTTCAGCATCAGTCGGTGTCGTAGCCCAGGATCGGACCCAACCAGCGCTCCACCTCCGACACCTCCATCTGCTTCCTGTGAGCGTAATCCTCCACCTGATGACAAACACAGAGAGACGGAGCTCACTCATCTGCGCTCACAGTTCCTACAGCATTATTCAGTCTAGAGAGAGAGTGCGTGTGTGCGCGTGTGAGAGAGTGTGCGTGCGTGCGTGTGTGTGTGAGAGAGAGCGTGCGTGCGTGTGAGAGAGTGTGCGTGTGTGCGCGTGTGAGAGAGTGTGTGTGTGTGTGTGTGTGAGAGAGAGAGTGCGTGCGTGTGAGAGAGTGCGTGTGAGAGAATGCGTGTGAGAGTGAGAACGTGAGCGTGTGAGAGAGTGAGAACGTGAGCGTGTGTGAGTGCGTGCGAGTGTGTGAGTGAGTGAGTGAGTGCGTGTGTGAGGGAGTGAGTGTGTGAGGGAGTGAGTGAGAGAGTGAGTGAGAGTGAGTGAGTGTGTGAGGGAGTGAGTGGGAGTGTGAGGGAGTGAGTGTGAGGGAGTGAGCGTGTGAGAGTGAGTGTGTGAGAGTGTGTGTGAGTGTGTGAGAGAGTGAGTGAGAGTGTGTGAGTGCGTGTGTGTGAGCGTGTGAGAGAGTGAGTGAGTGAGTGAGTGAGTGTGTGTGTGTGAGTGAGTGAGTGAGTGAGTGCGTGGAGTGCGTGCGTGTGAGAGAGTGTGCGTGTGTGTGTGTGAGAGAGAGTGCGTGTACCTCAGCGAGTCGGTCCGCCAGGGCTTTGACCATGATGCTGCTGTAATCGTCTCCCTGCTGCTGAAACTTCTGACTGAGTTCTTCTGCTCCAAACACAGACACAGTGAACAGACCCACGTAATCCTGAACGCCGCTGCCACGAGGAGCCACGAAATCAGACAGACACAGGTACGGCTCGGAGCTCGCGGAGTCCTTCTCCGCCTGCAGGAGGATGCAGCAAACATCACAATTATTTAATGCATTTCTTCACACTGCTCTATTCCTGCGGTCAGGGCTGGGCTATTAATCAAATTTTACTTTTAATTACAATATTGCAGATTATGAATACAAGATCATTTTTTTTGATGTAATTTATTTATATTTTATATTTATTTGTGTGTGTGCACAAATTAATTCATCTTTTATATTTTAAGTTTTTTGTATGTATTATATTATACATATTTTATAATGTATACACTGTATATGATAAAGGTATATATAATATATTTTATGTGTATTTTATATTATATATTTAGTTTCTTAGTTGCTCCACTGTTAAAAAGATGCAAAAATGTTTTATTTTATGCAATTTTACATGTAATAAATGCATGATGTTTCCAAAGTCAATGAGTAATAATAATTGTGATCTCAATATTGACCAAATGAATAGTGATTATGTTTTGTGCCATAATCCAGCAGCCCTAATTGTTGTCCCATCTAAATCAGATCCATCCAGCACATAGACACTTAACTGTGATTGGTCACGTTACATGTCAATCATACGCTCTCTTCCAGTCCAAGTGGTCAGAGTGAGCAGCACAACACCCGTCTGTGTGCTCACCGGTCTCACCTGCTGTCTGAGGCCGTAGAAGGTGGCGACAGGTGTGGCGGTTTGTGTCGTGACATCATCGGCGTACAGGTGGATGTCATCGCCGTCACTCTGAGCGGCCCAGAATCCCACAAGTCCACGGGCCTGCAGTCCTCGGCTGTCAATCAACCGGTTCAGCAGCTTCAAAGCTTCATCATGCACACGCCGCGCTTCCCCTCCTGAAACACACGCGTGAGACACGTCACCCACGCTGACCTCCGACCCCCCGTGCAACGCTACTGCAGTGAATCAGACGCACCCACGGTTTTGTCATTGAATATTTTGGGGTATCCGCGGTTGGGGTATTTCCCCCGCAGCTGCCACACGTCAAAGAACGGCTTCCAGTCGATGAAGTCCAGCAGCTTACGCAGGTCATACGTGTCAAACACACGTGTGCCCAAGAACTGCGGCCGCACTGCAGACAAAACACAATGATGGACTAAACAAATCAAGCTGAAGTGACATTTCTGCTTCACAACCCATGACTGACTTACAGTGACTGTGCGCACATACTAATCACACACAGCGCTTTTAAGTTCGGTTAGAGACTAGTTGAGCAGGGTTGAGGCAGTGATACCTGGTCTGGGTTGAGAGAGCCAGTCGATATGGAGGCCTTTCTCTCGAGCTCGACTCAGAGACAAGAATCGTCGGTCCTGCAGGAAACACATCAGCGTCAGCTCTCACTTCCTAATAAACCAGCTGCTTTATGAAGAGGTTCACTAACAGGATCATGTGACCGTCAGACCTTCAGTGAGTCGTAGTGATCCTGTCGGATGTCTTCATACTCCTCCCGGATCTCCTCGAAGAAATCCTCACGGATGCCTTCATCCAGCAGCTGAGAGCACTGCAGACACACAGTCATCATCATCATCATCAGATGTTTTTAGCTGCTGCTGTATAAAGACACAGACAGGCGTCTCACCACTACTACACTGCGATCTTCATACTCCTCCCGGATCTCCTCGAAGAAATCCTCACGGATGCCTTCATCCAGCAGCTGAGAGCACTGCAGACACACAGTCATCATCATCAGATGTTTTTAGCTGCTGCTGTATAAAGACACAGACAGGCGTCTCACCACTACTACACTGCGGGACGCGTCGAGAACGTGAACCACGGGAGAGCTGTACCGCGGGGCGATTTTCACCGCAGTGTGAGTCCTGTCACAACACACACACACACACACACACACACACAGTACAGCCATTACATGATATTCAGTATTTGTACATTTACTGTAAAGTGTTCAATGGATGATTTTATGTTTTTGAATTATCAGTTCAACCACAGTAACAGCAGCTGAATACATTCAATACGGTAAAAACCTAAAATAATCAAGACTCTTTTTTGCCAAATAAACATAAGATACTCTCTAAAACAACTGATTTGAAAAACAGATCATTTAAAATGAGCATTAGTGTAATTAACAGACACATTTGTGACCCTGGAGCACAAAACCAGTCATATTCACGGTCAATTTTTTAAAATTGAGATTTATGCATCATCTGAAAGCGGAATAAATAGCTTTCCATTGATGTATGGTTTGTTAGGAGAGGACAATATTTGAAAATCTGGAATCTGAGGGTGCAAAAAAATCTAAATATTGAGAAAATCATCTTTAAAGTTGTTCAAATGAAGTTCTTAGCAATGCATATTACTAATCAAACATTAAGTTTTGATATATTTACGGTAGGAAACTTACAAAATATCTTCATGGAACATGATCTTTACTTAATATCCTAATGATTTTTGGCATAAAAGAGAAATGTATAATTGTGACCCATACAATGTATTGTTGGCTATTGCTACAAATATCCCCCAGCGACTTAACACTGCTTCTGTGCTGCAGGGACACATTTAGGAGGAATAATGACATTGATTCAGTCAAACACTATAAAAATGCCACAGACTTTCATGAATTATTCTGAGTGATGATGGAAATGAATCACTGAATCAAGATTCTGAATTGATTCACTGAAATTAATTCTGGAACTGATTCATGGAAACCGATCACAATATTTACAAGAGTTAATGGCTAAATAAAAACTGCATAAATGTTGAGGTTTATCATGTAAGCGCATGGTGAAAATCCACTGAATGTGTCGTACTTTGACGTTGTGGCTCCACCGATCAGCAGAGGAGTCTTCAAGCCCAGACGCTCCATTTCTTTGGCAACATGAATCATTTCGTCCAGTGAAGGCGTGATGAGACCCGACAGGCCGATGATGTCTACAGACACAGAGCGTCACACATGTGAAGAGTCCTTCAGTGAGGAGAACATCAGCCGAGAGCCGCAGAAACTGACCTGCTTTGTTGTGAATGGCCTCCCGCAGGATCCTGTCGCAAGGAATCATCACTCCCAGATCAATGACCCTGAGACGACACACACACACACACACGGTCATGTTAGAGTGACTGATGGCAGCGTTTACCCATCTGACATCAAACACCTGCAGCTGTTAGCGTCTGAAGAGCCACTTAACACCAGCGTACAGAAAGACACTCTCAATCACACACCAGCAGCAACTCACACACACACTCTCACTCACACACACTCTGACTCACACACACTCTCTCAGACACACACACTCTCACTCACACACACACACACACTCTCACTCACATGATTCACTGAAATTAATTCTGGAACTGATTCATGGAAACCGATCACAATATTTACAAGAGTTAATGGCTAAATAAAAACTGCATAAATGTTGAGGTTTATCATGTAAGCGCATGGTGAAAATCCACTGAATGTGTCGTACTTTGACGTTGTGGCTCCACCGATCAGCAGAGGAGTCTTCAAGCCCAGACGCTCCATTTCTTTGGCAACATGAATCATTTCGTCCAGTGAAGGCGTGATGAGACCCGACAGGCCGATGATGTCTACAGACACAGAGCGTCACACATGTGAAGAGTCCTTCAGTGAGGAGAACATCAGCCGAGAGCCGCAGAAACTGACCTGCTTTGTTGTGAATGGCCTCCCGCAGGATCCTGTCGCAAGGAATCATCACTCCCAGATCAATGACCCTGAGACGACACACACACACACACACGGTCGTGTTAGAGTGACTGATGGCAGCGTTTACCCATCTGACATCAAACACCTGCAGCTGTTAGCGTCTGAAGAGCCACTTAACACCAGCGTACAGAAAGACACTCTCAATCACACACCAGCAGCAACTCACACACACACTCTCACTCACACACACACTCTCACTCACACACACTCTCACACTCACACACACACTCACTCACACACTCTCACACACACACACACTCAC